ATTCAGTGAAGCTTTGGGATTGGGCTGGGATTGGTCATCAGCATGTATCAATTGTATACATTCCTTTTCCTTTTGCCTTAGTTTCCACGGGCTCCCTTGCTCAGCAGTATGCACATCCTAATGCCACCCTGCATCCACATACGCCCCATCCTCAGCCTTCGGCCACTCCCACTGGACAGCAACAAAGCCAGCATGGTGGAAATCATCCTGCACCCAGTCCTGTTCAGGTAAGAAGAGCCGTGGCCTGTGCATGCACAGCTGCTTCCTTGTCCCTGCTACTTACACGTCTCTGTGTGATCAGGACATATGAGACAGCCATCCTTATGTAGCTGCAGGTAGTTGTGGGTTCAGGGGAGGGCTTGAAAATGTCAAGTAAGCCGTACCCTCGGGGTAAATGCCGGAAACATGAGTGTGGAAAAGCTACTTTAGACTTAACAAAGAACTTTAAGCTAAAGTACTGTCTGGAATTTCATTCCTGAAGCCACTCAATAATGCTGCTTTCCTATTGGCTGCTGCTTTTTTTTTCCCCCAAGATGGTTTCTCTGTGTAATAGTCCTGAGTGTCTTGGAACTCATTTTGTAGACCACACTGGCCTCAAACTCACAGAGATCTGCCTCTGCCTCTGCCTCCCAAGTGCTGGGATTAAAGGCTTGGCCACCACTGCCCAGCTGCCTGTTGGCTTCTTTAGTCATATTAGCTAGTGGGGCAGTTGACAGCCTGACATCTTGTCGGTTGTTCCACCTCTGCTTGTTTGTACCTGTAACTGCCAGGCTGAGACTTGGGCTTGAGAACCCAGAAAAGACCATCTGGACAAGAGATGCCCATGATGCTCTTCTCCCTGCATCTCCTGGGCATGGCTAGAGTTGGGTGGGGCTTCTGCTGCCTTCAGTGTGTGAAGCTCTGACCCTAATGACTTCTCAGTAAAGAAGTTTCCCATTGCTTTGCAGCACCATCAACATCAAGCCGCCCAAGCTCTTCATCTGGCCAGTCCACAGCAGCAGTCAGCCATTTACCACGCGGGGCTGGCACCAACCCCACCTTCCATGACACCTGCTTCCAATACACAGTCTCCACAGAGCAGTTTCCCAGCAGCACAACAGACGGTCTTCACCATCCACCCTTCTCATGTTCAGCCGGCATATACCACCCCTCCCCACATGGCCCACGTACCTCAGGTAAACCAGCACTAGCCAAGTTTCTGTGAAGGCCACGTAGGGTGTGGTGGTTGTCAGATAAGCAGCAAGGAGCCAGATGCTCCCCAAGCCAGGAAACCCTATGTGTGGTGCCATCTGCCTGTCTCCCCCTCCCTGCTTAGTATGTGATCTTCTGGCCCTCAGTGAATGTTGCTATGATTTTGTGATGGGATCAGTGAAATTGTGACTTAGCAATTCCCAGCTGAGACCTTAAAACTCTGAGTCTGGAATGCACCCCAGTCCTTTCCTTTCTGTGTCTGCTTTGCTCCGTCTTTCTAGCTTAACCACTATGTGTCTATGTGTCCACACACAGACACCTCTACACATGCACACATGGGAGCCCGGAAGGGATGGCAGGCAGGCTTTCAATGGTTCTCAGCTCTCTGAGGTGACTGCACTAGGCCTGTTAGCTTGAATGTTAGACACACGAATTCCGGGACGGGTCTCAGTTGTTTGCCTGGTTACCCTCTATCTGCTGCAATCCTGTGTTGTGCTTCCTGAGCGCTTGGCCTTGGACTATGGTGCAGTGTAACTGAAGCTCCAGGGCAGCCCAGGGCCAGGGGAGGCCTCCATGGCTCTTAGTGTGAGGTGGCTGCATCAGGTGTCTCTGCTACTTTGATTGTAGCTGCCTGAGGCGGGTCTCACTTAGGTTTACTGAATGACTCCATTTCCTGTCACAGTGCGCCAGTGAGGCTCTGGCAAGGTGTGAGCTAGGGATGCTGTGCAGTTGGGTCTCTTGCAGAAGGCTAGTTTGTTACTAGGTGTTCTTTCCCCAGAGCTAAGGGTCTGTAGTATATACTCCTGTTGATTGGCTGGTGACAGTTGGGAGGGGAGCCAGTTTGGTCAGTGTGCTTTGGTGGAGTGAAACTTAAGAGAGCCAGGGTCCTGTAAGTGTCTAGCAGAGGCTGCGAATTTACTTTAAGATGGGCTATCCCCAAACCTCAATTGTGTGTTTGTGTAGAAGGGTAAGAGGCTTAACATAGGGAAAACAGAGAACCATGGGCCTGTTTGAAGGTGTGAACCAGCACTTCGCTGGGGTGATGGTCTAGAGCAATGCACACGATGGGAGGCAGGAAGCAGCCTCTTCCTGCTCTGCCCACTCCCTGCAGAGCTGAGGTCGAGCTCACCAACCGGTCAACCAACATCACTTTTCTAAGTTAGACTTGTTGCCACTTGGTACAGGACACCAGGCTGACCCAACTTCAGATCATTCTCATCTCATTGGAGCCATTAACTGCACCCTTTGCTCCATCAGCCAAGCTATTACATTGAGGGGCCTAAGTGCTGCTTCATTGTTTCTGGGGAACCCATCACGACTTGGGGAGGGCGGAAGAGGAGAGACTCAGGAAGCTGCTATGGGTGCTGGGGAGGTAGTCTCCTCACAGGCCCTTCCTTGTCAGTTGCTTTCTGACTTGAAAAGGGCATTGATGTATTTGGCTCCATGCCATAGCAAGTTAAGTATGTGCCCCTCCCGCCCCAATAGAGGCCTGCTCTTGGTGAAGACCTTGCCCTGTGTGATAATCTGTGAGCAGGCACTGGGGACTAGGAAGATGTGGCCAACTTTCCCATCCCAACCCTACAGGATCTGCCTCAAGGAGTCCATCTTGCCCCTTCTTGAGTCCCAGTCCAATGAAAGGAACAGTTGACTTGTTGTTTAAGACGGAGATGTTGCCTGTATGCGTAAAAGAGCTCTCTGTTTCAGGCTCATGTACAGTCAGGAATGGTTCCTTCTCATCCAACTGCCCATGCGCCAATGATGCTAATGACGACACAGCCACCCGGCGGTCCCCAGGCCGCCCTCGCTCAAAGTGCACTACAGCCCATTCCAGTCTCGACAACAGCGCATTTCCCCTATATGACGCACCCTTCAGGTGAGGCGTGTGTGTGCAGGGGCCGCCGGGGCACCCCGAGCATTCTGCTCGCACAGGTAGAATGGCAGGCAGGACCAGTGAGTGTTTCAGGCTCCAAACCTGACTAATAAGGCCCGTCCAAGTGTTTGCAGGAGGGATTGTGATGGTCAGGGAGCATCAGGGCTCAGGGCCTCTGGAGCTGAGTCTGTGTGTGTTCTGCTGGTATCAGGGTTGGCTTGAGAAGCAGCAGCCTCATTCTGGGTAGCTGATGCATGCCGAGGACTCAGTTGGCCTTCCTGGTTATGTATGACAGGCTGGACAGGGCAAGCGTGTTCCTTCCTGAGTCCCTATAGGCTGATGTGGGGGGTTTATACCCATGGCCGACTTTGATTGTAGCTTGGAGAACACTGATGAGCTGTGTGCGGACTGGATTGAGTGTAGTTTTAGCCCCAGCCTGTGCCCTGACACAGGACACCCATGATGTCTCGTACTGGATGGCTGCTGTGGCAATACCTGTCTCCCCTGTGACTTGGAAAGTATTGGTGCTTGGCTAGCATTAGTGGGAGGGGGTTTGAAGGCCTGTGCTCCTGCCCCACAAGCAGCAAGTCCAGGACTTGTATCTGAAGTGGTTTCACGTCTGACTGGTTTGTTTCTCCTCACCCCCTTCCCTCCCCAACCCCACCTTGGCTGCAGCTGGGGGGAGAGGGGCGCTAGCATTAAACCTCCAGTGTTACTCAGCAGGAGAGTAGATGACAGTCATGTGCTGCAGACACTAGGTTGGTGGGCAGTGGTGCCTGTGTTCTGTTTAAATAGCCACTTTTCTTTTTTACAGTACAAGCCCACCACCAACAGCAGTTGTAAGGCTGCCCTGGAGGAACCGAAAGGCCAAATTCCCTCCTCCCTTCTACTGCTTCTACCAACTGGAAGCACAGAAAACTAGAAGTTCATTTATTTTGTTTTTTAAAAAAATACACTGATTTAACATCCGATAGGAATGCTAACAGTTCACTTGCAGTGGAGGATGTTTTGGACCGAGTAGAGGCATGTAGGGACTTGTGGCTGTTCCATAATTCCATGTGCTGTTGCAGGGTCCCGCAAGTACCCAGCTCTGCTTGCTGAAACTGGAAGTTATTTATTTTTTAATGGCCCTTGAGAGTCATGAACGCATCAGCTAGCAAAAGAAGTAACAAGAGTGATTCTTGCTGCTATTACCGCTTTAAAAAAAAAAAAAAAATCAAGACTTGGAACGCCCTTTTACTAAACTTGACAGAAGTTCAGTAAATTCTTACCGCCAAACTGACGGATTATTATTTATAAATCAAGTTTGATGAGGCAATCACTGTCTACAGTGGTTCAACTTTTAAGTTAAGGGAAAACTTTTACTTTGTAGATAATATAAAATAAAAACTAAAAAAAAAATTAAAAAATAAAAAAAGTTTTAAAAACTGATACCCAGTTAGTGTGTGTTTGTGGCGACTCCTGCTGCTGTGGGGTGCAGACCCTGGACAGGCAGGCTAGGTGTACTGTTCCAGGCTCCTATTGGATGAGGTGCTAATCAGTGACTTCTTTTTCACCTTCATCTGGCTCAAGATATCTAGAAAAAGTCAAGACTGAGAAACCCTCTTGGGTGAATTAGTGGAAGGCTGGCCAGAGGTGGGGGGACCATCAAAAGTCTGTATCTATACTTCTTTTTTCCTATCTCCAGACTTAACCAAACCACTATTGATCCACAGTTCAGGCCTGTATTACCAGCAGGGGGCAGGAGAGTTATAACTTCTTTACCAGTCTGGAGGTGTGTCCTTGGTAGCTGAGTGCTTGCTAATAGCACAGAGCGCTGGTTCTATCCCTAGGGGAGCTGGGAAGGGATTCAGAGAACAGGAAAGCCAGAAGAACAGAACTGTCTGCTATAGGGGAAAGGTAAGTGGAGAGGGGGTTGGTGTTGCAGAGATCATGGTCGTTAATTCTGAAAACCTTTTTAATTCACATATAGCAATTTGTACACTGTAGCAAAATCTGCATTATTCAAGAATAAGTTACTCATACAGTACATAAAACAAAGATTTGCCAAATACCTTCTGCCTGTAATGATAGAAGATGAAATCCCTTCTTCCTGTTGTCACAATGCTTATTCCAGCCTTACACACTGGCTGTTAGATGCATCTCCATTAGGAGGCAGTAGATGACAAGTGACTTGATGTTTGCACTAAGGTAACATTTGAACAAGAGCCCTCAGGGAAGAGATGAGCCTCCTTTTAGGTTAAGAAACTTCTGAAAAATAGTGTTATCTGGCCCAAAATTGTTAATGGTCACTATTCCTTTTTCCTAGGGTTCAGAAATGATCAAAGGCAGAAGGAAGAGTTCTATCAGATAAAGCCATATGGACTGCTGGTCTAAAGTCAAGGCAGGTTAGCTGACTCGATTCTTTGGTGCTGGTGGCTGTTAGTGTATAGTTGTAGTCAGAAGGAAGCAATGGTGCAGGGAGTCTCTATAGGGCCAACTCACACTGTGCCTAGTGTGGCCTCACCTGCCAGTGGTGGTCTGTCAGGAATACTGGGGGTGGGAATGGTGCCTGCCTGGTAATGACACTGGTGAAGGCATCTTGCCTGGACCTCATTAAGCCACCTATTCCCCTTCAGCCAATTGGACCTACTGTAGCAGAAAGAAAAGGTGATAGCTTAGTGCCACTCTATTCCAGAGCCATGAGAAGACTGTCATAAAATACACCTTTTGAAAGGAAGCTTCTCCAACCATGGTGCGGCAGAGGTGCTGGTTTACAGTGTGTGGCCAGTCTCCCCTCTACTGAGAGATGTTTGTCTGATGAACCCAGGAGAAATGAATGCCCCTAGTTTGTATAGACAGAGATACAATCGTCCAATCAGCCCCTTTCCAGGACTACATAGCTTAGAGGAGTCTGGACCAGTGGCTGAATATTGCTTTTATCTTTGGCTCATACTTTTTATGGAAAATGAAGGAAAGCTAGTTCTCTTAAAGATGGAACACAAATCTGCACCTATGTGGGATGTGCCTTGCTCTGTGAACACAATGGTGTGTTGCAAGATTAAGCACAGTTGGCTGCTCTTCCCACCCCCATCCACTAAGGGCCACACAAGCTTGCACAGTAGAGGGTAACCAGGTGAGAAGGGTATCAGCATATCTGCCTCTGAATTAAATTGTGACTTCCTACTGCCACAGCTGTGAACCCAAAGTCTGTATGACCCGCACCTTTGAGCTCAGGAGCAGCCACTTTCTAGCCCCTGTGAGCTGTGTCACCTGGAAAAGGCCAGACCAGTATAGACCCTATTAGTTGTATGTACAGGAACATACCCTTCCACCCTGCTGCCACCTTGGACAGAACACTTACTTTGAGCTGTTGCAGGAATTTCATGGTGCCAACTTCCTTTTGGATCAAAACGGAGCCATACTCAATAAGTCATTAATTCTTGGTGGGGGGCAAGCTATAAATTTGGGTTCACTACACAGGCCCAGGCACCTTTGCATTTGTGCTTGTCTTTCCCCGACCTGTCTATCACATCCTCTATATAAAGCTGCTGTAAACCAGAGTCCTGTTTTTTTATGCATAAGGCACTGGGGATAGAATGCCCCTTGCCACCCTCCTCTCTCTGCAAGCTGCCTGGATTTCCCTGAAAGGGTGACACACTTCATTCTCTACATTAGGGAGGACAGTGGCTACCCCATATAGCAGGCAACCGTCCTGAGGAGGGGCAGACAAGGACACTAGCGTGCTGGCTTAGCTCGGGTGAGGGAAACAGGTGTGCTGCCCTGACTGGAGTGGCACCGGTCCTGGTAGGGCAGTACAGGGAAATAAGCTGTGATCTCATACAGAAACCTGAATCCTTAAAAAAAAAAAAAAAAATCAATCAATCTGAGGTAAAATGTTTAGAATTTTTGACTTTTCAGCCTGTCCCTCTGGCAGAGCTTCTGTCTAAAGCTGGGAGCAGAAGAAGCAGGATTAAGAAGCATCTACCTGTGGAACTGAAGCTACAGGGAGGAAACGGGGACTTGTTAGTGTTTTGTGCTTCCCAATGACCCTACCTGGTAGGGAGTCTGTCATCAGCTCTGACTGTCAGTTTCCGCTGCCAGCTCTGGGCCTGTAGCCCCACTCCTCTGGGTTGGGGATGGGGCCTAGGGTACCAGCTAGTGGCACCTGTGCACAAGAACTACATCTGTAAACAGTGGGAGAAAGCCAGGGGCTAGCTGTGGCAGCCTGGTGGAGGACACATCTGAGCTGGGGAAGGCTTACACTGCAGCCAGTAGCTCTCTGGAGGGAAAGACGATGATTACATTCACAAGTTTGCATCCCTGCACAGCTGTGAGAGAGGGGTGTACTGGTTGTCGATGGCACGAAGGTGGCTCCGTGAAGAGGAGTCCATCCCATAGTCTGAGTCCCGGGCATTGCTCACAGGCTCCAGTTCCAGGTGCCGCAGACTGTTGGCCAGTTCCTCAGGAGAAGGCACCAAGTGGAAGATTTGCTCTGGGGGTGTCACTCGGCCAGGGAGAGCCTCTGCGCCCAGACTGGGGGGACAGCCAGCAGAGTTGAGGTGGGAAAGACCCAGCTCCGAGTCCCAGGGAGGAAGGGAGAAGGGGAAGAGGACCGTGTTGGAGGAACCTGGAGAGGTGACATGGATGAGTCTTCAGAGTGAAGAAAGTGCACCAGGCAAGCTTTGTGCCTCTTTGTGACACCACCCCTTGACAAAACTTGGGATTCCTACCTGGTGCTTGGGAGACAACTACCACATAGCCAGAGAGCCGGACATCACAGGCTGCTCCACACTCAAGTGGGATGGGGGAGCGCTGGAAGTGGTGGAGCATGTCCACCACCGAGGGAAAGTGCAGGTGCTGTACACGGCACTGTCCACGCTCTGTGAGCACCAGGCGGAGGTGCTATGGAAAGGCAGAAGGTCAGCCTGCTGCCCAGGCTACATTCCTCCCACCCAATCCCACCAGTTCTGCCCCTACCTTGGCTCTGCCCTGTAAGTTGAATGTGAGCACATACTCCCCTCTCCTGGACTCACTCTGCCGCACCAGGAACACACCGTGGGCATCAGGGCCCTGCAGCTGAACCAACTGTGCAGCTTTTACCCTGGAAATAGGGCCATGGAACCAGGGGTAGCAGGACAGGAAGTGATCTGTTTTCTGGCAGGCTGGGTCCAACACTGTCCCGGGTGAAGCACCTAGCAGAAAAATGGTGGTGGTAATAGACATGGTGGTTCTGTGTCCAGGACACTCAAAGGCCAAGAGTCTGGCACATACCTTGGTCCAGGGAGTCTGTGCTTCCCCTTGGAGAGCTGGCTGGGCCAGGCTCTGACATGAAAGAAAGGGGTAACTCTGTGTCCATGCGCTCCAGCCTGTAGGGGAAGAGGCTGGGTGAGGAAGGAGCCAGCAGGGAGCATCAGAGCTTGGCTGGGCAGGGGCAGGCCTCACCCTTGGCCTGTGCTTGTTCTGAGCTCCTCCAGCCATGAGTTCAGCTGCTGTTCGTCTCCCACCTCAAAGATGATGTCTGTCTGGTCCTGCACCTGCAGAGAGGTAGCATTCAGCTCTGCATCTGTATGAATGCTGTATGAGAAAGGAGCACCTCCCAGGAAGCCATAGCCCCAGCACTCACTTTCAGCACAAAGGTATAGAGGTTGTCAGGCATCTCCAGGCGTGTGCATGGCCGGACCTCCCGGATGCTGGAACATGCCTCTTGGAGCTTGGGCTTTGAGCTCTAGGAAGAAAAGAGGGGGGTCACTCAAGGTTAGCCCATAGAGCCCCCTCCCCGGGGGGGGGCGGGGGCTCTCAGGTTTTCTGCAGTCTCTTTCAGTACTAGAGGAAGGAGGCACAGGAACACCCTCGTGCGGCTCACTTCTCTCCATCAGGAAGCTGCTGTCCTCGCCAACCCTGCTGTCCCAAACAGTCAGCTGTAGGAGTGCACGGCATGCCTGGGAGACGCCACCTTTGTGGATTTGGCTGGCACCATGGATGCCAGTTCCCAGGTTCCCAGGTCAAAGCGTTAGGGCCCAGACAGTCAGTTTGTAGGAGGGAAGCCCTTCCCTTGCCTGCCATCTAGTCCTTATGTCCTCTGGTGAGGAGATTGCTCTTGATGGCTGAGGGCCAGCTTCCAGATAATTGACTGGGAAAGCTGGAGAAGTAGGAAGGACAAAGGACTTGACAGGCCTCTTTCCCTCCCGCTATGGCTTTTGTCCCAGGACAGGAGAGTACCAGGTGCTTTAATCAGAGCCCGGGCTTACTCTGCTTCTTGCCCTGCCCCAGGTTAAGACAAAGTCCACCCCAATGCCATAGCTTGGCCACTTGCCTGTTAAAAGAGTGAGGGGACCTGCTGGAGATGGGCCAAATGGGGAAGACATGACTCCTACTCCTGTCCACAATTGCTATATGCTGACCAGACATGGGGTTCTTCCCAATTCCCAGTGCAAGCTTTAATGGGATCAGCACCCCAGAGCCTGTTCTGAGCTACCTGCTGGGATGCCTGAGCATGTTCTAGGCTGGGGACAGGTTTGGACTACTGGGGAGGGTAGTGATGGGAATTTCTAGCCAAGACATGAAGTACATTTAGAGGCCTTGCATTTTTCCTTAATAACACACATCACTGGTCAAGCCTGGCCAATAAGCAGCTCTCCACAGGCCCTCTGAGATTTCTCGGTAGAAGTAGAGTGGCACCAAGTACCACATTCCATACCTTTTACTTCCAGGCCAAGAAGTCAGTTTTTTTTTTTTTTTTTTTTTTTTTTTTTTTTGATGCTTGGTGTCAAATCTAGTAATTGCATCTCCACAGTGAATCCTGGCCTTCTGCTTCCCTCTCTGTTTTGCCCTCTCAGATTCTCAGTGCAGCTCTCCCCCTTGGTCTACATCCCCAAGCCATGGGAGCTGCCTGTTTCCAAACTATTTTTGACAGCTGATGTGGGTCTGATGGTGGAAGAAAAGGCCTGAGACGTTTCCAGGATGGCAGTCAGCTGTGTATGGGTCATGGCTCACTGCAGTTGCCTGTCTGTACAGTCCTAGCAATGATACAACAGGAAGGAGCCAGAGGTCAGGAGCCCTGCCACCAGCCACCTCCAGCCTTCTAGGAAATGAGAGGGTGACTCACTAGTGCCATGGCCTCCTCTTAGGTCCTTGTATTGATTCCTGGTCATTTTATTTGGGGGTGGGGAGAGTACGAGACAAGGTTTCTCTGTGTAGCAATGGAGACTATACTGAAACCCCACTGATCTAGGCTTTGGGACAACTGAGTCCTGCCATTTGTGGCTGTCTTCTCCCACCCCCAATGCCATCCTTGAGCCTGGTACGATAGAAAACACCCACTCCAGGCATGGTACTAGGGAGATGGAGGCAGGAGCTTTGGGCTAACCTCCCAGAAGCCTTGTTTTTCTAAACAAAAACACAAAATACCCTACTTGGTTCCAAAATAGATTCCAGTTACAAAGATGCCTGGAAGCCAACCAGATGAGAAGTCAGTCTGTATAGGGACTCTGAGAAGTCAGCAGTAGTCTGTTGAGCCCATTCATTTTCCTGACTCTGTCCCCTTTCTTGGACCTTATTCCCATTCTAGGCTACTTAGGGTCAAGTAAGAAAGTCTGCAATTCGAGATTCATGGCACCTGCCAGCCAGGCTTGGACTTGCCCTGCTAGCCATTTTTCCCCAGTTCCCTACAGGTCAATCAGATTAAGCACAAAGGCCATTTGGCAAGAGATCTGCTCCAGGGCAGCAGTCCTGGGTAGGCACAGTGTGAGCTTTGGCAGCATGCTCCAGAGTGGCCCCAGAGGCCAGAAAGCAATGGCCACACAATAGCCAGAGTAGCTATGGCTAGAGAGCTACTGGAACACAGGCTGTCCAGCAAAGTGCTTCCAAGGGATGGGGTTTGCAGGCTGGTGAAAGAATTGTTAAGTCACGGAATAAGTACTGTATGACTTGAGGGGAAAGTTCCAGAGCGATCCCTTGACATCATGTAAGGCTTTATTTGTATGTGTGGGAGGAATCCTCCTACTAAAAAGACCCCCTTAGGAAACTGCTTCCAACATAGGGAATCCACAGGTACCCTTCACAATCATAAGGGAGCCCCATCACTCTGCCTGTGAAGGCAAAGTAGATGTTGGGATTCTCAGAGGAAACCTTCCTGGGGTGAAAGTGATGACCCTGAAACCTTGGGAACCTCATGTCAGAGAGCTCAAGATCAGAGAGAGAAGGGAAGACAATTGTTTGTTAGTGACAGGACCAGACCGTGACATGGGTTGTTTTTGTTTGTTTTTTGAGACAGGGTTTTTTCTCTGTGTCTTTGGAGGCTGTCCTAGAACTAGCTCTTGTAGACCAGGCTGGCCTCAAACTCACAGAGATCTGCCTTCCTCTGCCTCCCGAGGGCTGGGATCAGACTGTGACATGTAAAGGGCATGTAAATCATCAACACAGACAATACAGGCTAGAAATGTAGCTTGGATCCCAGCACTCGGGAGACAGAGGATGCAGATCTCTTGAGTTCAAGGCCAGCCTGGTCTACAGAGTGAGTTCCAGGACAGCCAGGACTACACAGAGAAACTGTCAGAAAAAATAAACAACAAACAAAAATTATAAGGCTGGAGAGATGGCTCAGAGGTTAAGAGCACTGAATGCTCTTCCAGAGTTTCAGAGGTCAATTCTCAGCATCCACATGGTGGCTCACAACCATCTGTAATGAGATCTGGTGCCCTCTTCTGGTGTGCAGAGATACATGGAAGCAGAATGTTGTATACATAATAAATAAATAAAATCTTTATAAAAAAGAAAAAAGAAATGTAGCTTGGGTGGCTGAGTGCTTGCCTCACATGCACGAAGCCCTAGTGAAGTCCTCAGCACCACAAAAATCAGGTATGGCACAAATTTCATCAGGATCAGAAATTCAGGTAGTCCTTGACTACATCTTGAGCTCAGGTACAGAGAGACAATGTCATGGTCTGCTGAGACCTGAAATACAGAGGAGACTGGTGTTCTAGCTCAGATCCTTGCCTTGATGTATCATCAAGCCCCTCAAAACAGGGAAACAGAATCCACAGAGTAGATCGCCCACAGGGGACAGACTGCTGAGAGAGGCAGTCTCAAATGAGACATTCTGCACTTAGACACTTGTACAATTGTGTAAGTATGCTAAAAAGCAATGTATTGTTCACTTCAAGCAAGAAAATTTTATGGTATAGGAATAAAACTTTTTAAAGAGGGAAATGGCAGCTGGATGTGGTGGTGCACACCTTTAATCCCAACACTTGGCACACTGTTGGATGCAAGCCTGGTCTACACAGAGAAACCCTGTCTCGAAAAACAAATAAAACAAACAGATGGCCAGTCATACTCCTAACCAAAAAGGGTTGGGCTGGAGGCTGGAGAGATAGTTTAGCCATTAATAGCACTTGTGGAGATTAGAGAGAGAGATGGCTCAATGGTCAAGAGCACTGGCTGGGGACTGGAGAGATGGCTCAGTGATGGCTGGAGAGATGACCTCTGTTCTTCCAGAGGTCCTGAGTTCAGTTCCCAGCAACCGCATGTTGGCTCACAACCACCTTGATTGATGCCTTCTACTGGCATGCAGACATAAGACTGTATACATAATAAATAAATAAAAATCTTAAAAAAAAGTGTATGCCAACATGTCCCACCCACCCCCCAAAAAAAAGAACATTGGACTTCCAGAGGACTTGCCTTGAGTTCAACGCCCACATGGCAGCTCACAGCTGCCAACACACTCACATGAAGGTCAAACACCAATGCACATAAAAAAGTACTTTGTGCTGTCCCATAGTAACCAAGTTCCTGGCACCTACCTGGTGGTTCACAAGCGCCTCAGCACCAGAGACTCCAACACCTTCTGACCTCTACAGAGCACACACGTGCACAGCCACATAATAAAAGCCATAAGCTGGGACAGAATGGTTACAAGTTCCAGGCTAGCCCGAGACAGCATAAGGGGGAATGGGGGTGACAAGACGGTATGTAGTGCTGGTGCCACTGGGTAAAGAGCACAGCAGAGCACTGCACTGGGAAAGACAGACACCCTTAGGCAGCCACAGACCCAAGTCCAGCCCTGGCTCAGGCCCAGGCAGCTGCAGCCACTATGGAGATGTGGAGTGACTAGTCATCGAGCACGCCTGTCTGCTCTTGTGGGATACCACACTATGTTGTTATTTTGCAGCTCCTCAAAATGTTAAGTGCAGAGTGAACAACCCACTAGGCACATCGAACAGATGTTCAAAGCATTATTTGCCAAAACTCCAAGTGGAAATAGCTTAATTTCCACTTACTCATGAATTGGTGCGGCAGGGGATGGTAAAACCATACAAGGGGATATTACTTGGTTATTAAAAGGAACAAGATAGCCAAGTGTGGCAGGGCACACCTTAATCCCAGACTCAGGACGCAGAGGCAGGAGGATCTCTGTGAGTTTGAGGCCAGCCTGGTCTACAGAGCAAGTTCCAGGACAGTCGGGGGGGGGGGGGTAAGGCTACCTCCAGCTTGAGTCTGCCACTCTGAACTAGTGAACATCTTGGTAGCCAGATCATTTTCCAGTGGACTCTGGATGAGGAGAGGAGCCCAACACTGCTCTCTCTGGGAACTCTACCCAAGGAGACATTCAGACAATGCAATGCTCAGAGCAGAGTCAACTGCAATAGGAAGGCGTCTCAAATGTCTGAACTGGGTGGGTGCAGATGATGCAGGGCTGGAACACACCCGTCTGCCGTACTGACG